TACTCTTACTCGGATCCTTACTCTTACTCGTACTCTTACTCTTACTCTTCAGTCTACCTCTTACTCGTACCCTTCCTCTTGCTCTTTACTCTTACTCTTACTACACGTCGGAGGGTTCTGCGAGCAGAGTGAGCAAGGCACAAACAATTTGGATGGGCTTTACGTCCATACGGAGCTTGTCCCAAAAGGACCACCGTTTGGGTGTCAACCAGGCAAATAGCCATGGTTGCGGGAAATTGGGTTTGCAGGGAGTGCCAAAATAGCCCTGGGAACCAACCACTTTGGTATCACAAAGAAAAAGTATGGAAACCTGCCTGGAGGGGTCCCAATTTGGAGACGCACCCATCTTCAACCACTGTGGCCCTCCAGGTACCCGGACGGAGAGGGCGGCTTTCTGGAAGTGCAGCACGTGGGCGCCAGGAACGCGGATTCCGTGCTGCGCTGGGTGCAGAGCTTGCCCCTCCAGCAGCAAGCAAGACCTCTGGCACTAGCCTTTGCCGCGAGTCGGGGGTGTCCTTGCTCTTGAAAGAGTATCTGTTTTGGGGTGGGTTAAAAAAGGGAGATCAAAGTGGAGGTGCTCTTATTTCGAGACACGCCCATTTGGATGTGTGGTCTTGTGGATTCTCTCCCTGTTGCATGCTCTTCGTTGGAGAAGGGGTGGGCTACGAACATTCCGCTGGAGAACCGAATTGGTGGCGTGACCCCAAAGACGCCTCCGCCCCACGCCCAACGGTGGGCTCAAGGAAGAAGAAGAAGAACAAGTTGGTGAGTGGTAGGAGGATCCTTGCCACTCGGCCGGAGCCATGCTACTCGTTGAAGAGGCCATCCATGAGTCCTCGCAACCACACCATGACTTGCGATCTGATCGCTACATCTGAGTTATTCCGGAACTCGCTCTTGCAATCAGGTGGAAGAGACTCTCACTCTGGGCGGAGGTGGAGGAGAAGATGAATTTGCTCGGCATCAGGATCCTGTCCGACATGGGTTGGCGTTCCACCGAGCAGTTTGCATGGAGCAATGGTCAATACACCTTCAGGCTTGCACGCATCAAGCAAGGAGCTTCTTCTAGAAGACGGGTTTTGTTCTTCGTCAACAGCGGAAACATGCTTGGCCTTGACTCGGCCCTGCTCTGAGGCGACATGAGATCGCTGGAAGCGCCTGGCCTTCATGGTCTGAGAAGAGAGTGAACCGGATCAGGAGAATAGCTCTTCAGAGCACCGCGGACTTCATGGCGACAACTCTTGGAGTGCAAAGTTACTTGTCAAGGTCAATGGGTGCCACTGTTGCGGCCGGACATCTCCAAATTGGAATCATGTTTGGACTTCGTTGGGGATGGAGGTTCCTGGCGATGTGTTGTGGCGGCGCGCCTTTTGGCCCTGACAGCGAACCCGCAACGAAACTGCGCGACTCCGGAGCTGAGGCTGCCATCCTGCCCATGCTGTGCCACATGTGGCGATCCCGCTTCGTCACCTGCTTCTGCGAAGGGAGGTCGCGTATCCGTCCAAACGAAACAGCGGGAAGAGCAAACTGCCGCATATCTGCTAATCTGCCCAAATAGGTTCGAGGGAGGAAGCGAGCCCGCCCACATCTCCGAAAGTCCTTTTCCCACCTGGCCGATTCTCTGCTCTGTCGGCTGTCCACCCACCACCGAACCCAAAACCACCATGTGGTTCTTCGCTGGGATATTGTGCCATGCCCACCCTGCGAGATCCACCGGGTCACACAGCTGCACCTTGTTCAGGCTTTCTTTCAAGCCAAATTCCTGTGCCAGTTGCAACCAGATCTCGATGCCCTCCTCGACTTCTGCTCTTGACGCGGCCGTCAACGTTCTGTCGTGCACGAACAAAGTCTGCTTCACCTCCGGACAAATGCTCTGCACTGCCAACGCCAAACCAGCCAATGCCAATGACGAAATCAAGGGGGCCGCCGGATCGCCCTGAGGAGTTGTTCGAGCTTATGGCAGCCGGATGGACAGATGGACACATCCGTCCAAAGTCAGCCATCTCTTCTTCAATCTCCTCCTCTCTGCTATGCCTTGGTGCTGCTGGATCTTCGGCTTTGTCATCTGCTTTTGCCTCTGTGGGTGATCTCGGCGATCGCTAAAGCTGATCATCTCCTCGATTTTCTTAATGTCTTCCAAAGGCCCATCCCAGTTCTGCGGAATGGCCCAAACGGCCCACAAGCAGGCTTGTGTGATCTTATCACACATCCTCCTCCATGCTGCTTCTGCTTGCTGCTGCTGATCTTCTGCTTCAATGGAGTTCTCCTGCTCCACTGTCCTCCACTCTTCTGCTTCTAGGGCATCCCAACTCTCCTTCAGGATCTTCTTCCATTCTTTCAACGTCAGCCAGGACGGCTTGCTGAAAGTCTTAGACTTCTTCATGACCGTCTTATTCTTCTGACGGGTGAGGTCCGGCTTCCACTCCGCTTTGCATCCCATGTGGTCACTCACTCCAGATTGCAAAAGCCACATGTCTCCCACTTGCACCTGTCTTTGCATGAAGTAGTCGATGGCCTTCTTACCTTTCCATCTGGTGGACGTGATGCCCGGATGGGGAACTTGGAGTCGCGCGCTCAAAGGTGTATTGGCGGACCAAGAGGCGCTCCTTGCTTCCCACGACGAGTGGCCAATGTCAGGTTTTGGTGTCCAGGATCCTGTGGCCCCCTTACTTGACATGCTGCGGGGCATTGCTGCCCTCGTAGCTTCCATTTGCAGCGAGGCTTTCCGCGTCAGCCAAAACCTGCAGTGGTCCGAGGAGTTGCGGCAACTTGCAAATGCCGACATCTAGTGGCGACAAATCCAGCACGCGGTTGTTACTGACTGGGACGAGGCCTGGGGTAACGCTGAGTTCCGCCATGCGTACCACAACAACTTGACCCTCTTCGAAGAGAAGGAGGCTCGTGGTGGTTCGCAAACCGGAGGAGTGGTTGGCGACGACAGCAAAAATGAGGTGGAGATGTCCGTGGTGTGAGGTTGGCGTCGTCAGCGCGGCCACGGACTACTTGGCCGACAAGGCGATTGGCTGGCATTTGAGCGTATGCAAACCAGAGAAAGGAGAACATCAGGAGGTTGAACTTAACGTTGGCGCACTCACAGTCGCATGAGGAGAGGAGGAAGCGGCAAAGAGCCGAGGCCAACATGAGGTTCCAGGATCACGACATCGTGGAGCTGAGAGACGAATTGAGTACGCTCAGTGTCGGTCCTATCCGGGTCTGCAAGGATTGCAGGCAGATTGTTGGGCACCGCGGAGCATAAAGGCCGGTGAAGGCATGCAGGAAATGGACCTGGGCGCCAGGGAACAAGACGAGGCCGAGCAGAGCGTGGTGGGCGAAGCAGATCAAGAAAGGAGTCCAAGATAAGGTGATGCAGCAGCTGGAGGTGGGTCCGGCAGCATGCTTGTCTTCTTGGCATTTGCTGCGGCTATCACTGCCGAACGCACCCAGCCGCCTCCTCTCCATTCGAAAACCACTATCCTCACCTTCTGCACATTGGCTGCCACCGCCAAGGTGTATCTGCACACCCATCTCAGCGGGCGGAGACCTCCAGAGTCTTGGCTGGCTCTCCATCCGTGACCTTGTTGTATTGCTCGCCCTCGTGACCACCCAACTCTGTTGCCACATTTTGTCTGTTGATGGCCTTCACCCTCAAACTTCTGGCCAGCACCTCTATCTTCTCTGCAATTTCCTCTGCTTCTTTCCGTTCTGCAATCCGGACGCAGTGGCCAGCGCTCTCCATCCGCAATCACCAGCTCCTCCAGCATCGATCACAACGGTGCTGTACTTCCCTCCTCCTGGTCCCGGGCTTCCCGTAGTCAGCTTCTTCTCTGCCGTCTTGGACTTCTTCTTCGGCGCCACGTGGCCGTCAAGGTGGCCGGCGTTTCCTTCTGAGTCGGCCCTGCTCCTCCCGTTGCTGCTACTCTGCTGCCTTCGCTGTCTGATTCTCCTCTGCTGCTGATCTTTTTTTCTCTTCCACCATACTCTCCTCCTCAACAGGATCATCCACCGTCAGCCATTTGGAAGCATTAATCCTGATCGCATCCACAGGTGCCTGTCTCGTCCTTCTCCATCTGGTGGCCGTGATGTGGAATATCTGTTCCCCAGCCTGGCCTGGGGGAAGTCCCTTTCACCTGCCACGGCTTCTTGTATGGCGCTGAGGGCGCCTTCTCGATCTTCCACTTCTGCGCTTCCATGAATGTTTGCAGGGTCAAGGGGCCCCAAGAACGGGGAACTCCAAGAATCGCCCACAGGTGCGGGAGACCATCCTCTTCCTTCATTCCAAGCAGGAGGCACCTCCCGTCCTGTAAGTCATTGCCTTTCCAGCCTCTCCACATATCCTGAAGACTCGGCCATAGTAACTCAAAGGCTTCTCCTTCTCCTCCATCCTGACCCAGCTGACTTCTTCTTTCTTCTGCTCATCTCTGGCCAGCCTTCGAAAGAAGATGGCGCTCAGAGACCGCTCTGGCCCAGCACCTTGTTAAACCTGATCCTCGTGCGCCCAGGTAACTGATGACGTTGAGTGTCTCCCATCCACTGGTGCATGCCTCTCTCATGTCCGGAAACTGTCTTCTGATCGCCTTCTCCGGGTTCTCCTTGGCCTCAGGGACCTTGTCTCCGAGCATTCTCAAGTCCATCGTGACCCTCAATGTGACCCATGATGGCGCCTCCACCTGCTCCTTCTCCACCTTGTCCGGTTGCACCGTGGTCCCCAATTCTGTGGCTTGCCAACTAATCCTGTCGCCCACACCTTCTGGTAGGTCAACTTCCCTATGCGAGGCAGCTCCAATCAGGCTCCATCCTCCTCTAATGCCCTTCAGCCTGGACCACAATGTTCTGACTCTGCTGGTTGGATTTGCACAAGCATCTGCTTGGCCCGGTTCCGCCGCGGGGAGGCTCCAACCATGGAACCCGGCGGGCTCAAGGACATGCAAGGCCTCGAGGGTTCGAGAGGCTAGCGCGGGAGAATTGGAGCCTGCCCCGAACATGTCCGTTTTGTGGGCTGAGCGACTGAAGTTGCGTCGGTTCACTTTCGAAGGTAAAGCTGGGGAATTCGAATTAGCCGGCTGCACGCTGCGGGTGTGGGTCCCTTCCATCAGCAGACTGGTTTGGCTTCATTTGGTGGGCTCCTGGTCTGATTGGCGGCTTCCGGTTTCTCTCAGGGCCGACTTATGGGAAACATTCTTCAGGACATGACCACGTACCCTTACGCGTTTGGGGGGTGTGGATCTCACTGAAGCACCAGCTCACGAAGAGAAATCACATGTATGAGGAGAAACACAAAGCAAGATTTGAGGGTACTCTATTTTGCCACCCACCCAACCTTTCTCTGGTAGATGTTTGGTAGCTAACTGGATTGTGATAGGCGCTGGTTTTATGGGCAGCTAGTGATGTGAGCCTTGGTCAATCCGAATTGCTGGCCATGGCCGCTCTCCACAGAAAATGACCCCGAAGCATCCCTTGTGGTTTCCTGTTTTGGGGCCCAAAGACCTTGGCGATTCCCTACTAAGCAACAGCAACTCATATTTGCCATGGTCAAGCAAATCTGACTTGGAATCACTGAGGTTTGGGAATTCCAAGAGCCTTGAACACCACCAAGAATCGTACTCTCAACCAACAAAAACATGGCGCTCGCCCCCAAAGTCAGCAAACTCCGCTAACTCGGACCCATGGCTTCCCAACGGCCGAAGAGGTTCCCGGACCTCGAGCGCATCTACGTGACCGGGGAGTCTGCGGGGGGCTGGGCCTCCTTCGCATGGACTGCGGAGATTGCTCGGCGCTTCCCCAACGCCCAGGCGCTGCGCCGGTGGAACGCGCCGGGCTTCGGGGTGGGGTGGGTGGGGTGGTGGTTCCCTGGTGGAGAAATGGTGGGTTTGCTCTGATTCCGTTCGGACTCTTTTGATTTTCAATTGTCATGCGAAACCACAATCCATTACAAACCTAAGCACAGGTAACGGGGGCCACATGTGCATTCTCAACATCCCTTTGGTTTCCCTTCTGAACATATCATTTTTTTGTGGTAACCCCAGAGTTGGGCCACTCGACGTGGGACGCTCACGAGCGCAGGTGACCGGCTGGGCGGATTCCTCGCTGCACCTGCTGTGCCCCAGCAGCGAGTGCGACGAGGCCCTCAAGACGCTTGGAAAACATGCGCAGGCTATGTGTGGCCCCGGGCCAGAGTTCTTTTGAGTGGGGAATGCGTGTTCTTCGCTGGTCCAAATAGGGGACGAGTCGCGTCGACATCACCTTCTCGGCCAAAGTGTCCTCGGGCGACCTTCAATTCTGGACCTGGGTCACAGTAGGACGAGGCGCGCCCCGAAGTTTTCAGCAAAAGGAGCCTGTTTTTAGGGGAATGTTTCTTCCAAGTGCTGTACTAAATTTTCCTCGGCGACGAGCCTTGCGTTATTCTCTTCTGTTGATGCCTTAGCAAGTTCACATGACGTGACGAGGATCCTGTTCTAGGGAAATGTTTCCTTCTGGTAGGTGAAATAGGCCTTGACCGAGTGAGTCGGGATGTTTTTGTGCGGATTTGAACCATTCTGCTTCAAGTGTTGGGGCTTTGGGCTGATGGGTTCTTTTGACCAAGCCGCGGCTTAAAGCCTTCTGGTTTTTGGGCCAATGTGCTTGGTGAGCTTTTGATCTTTGTTTTGGCAGTAGGTTGAGTTGGTATCCCAATTCTAGTTGGGTGGGTGACATCTGCTTTTGTGACGTTTCCTTTCAATGGGGTGACAATGGGTGATGGTTTGAATGCCAGATATGGAGAACCCTGACTCACTCCTCGGCCATTGCCCATCGCTCATTGGTCAGGGAGAAGAGCTGTGTCTTGCTTGCTTTTTGTGTCTTGGGGATACCTTACGGTTGGATGGCCATGGATTTTCACTGAAATCCAGCCGCGCATCTCTAGATGCATAACGGGTCCCCAATGCCATGGGTTGCATATGGCGATCCCATTTTGGGGTGGAACATCCATTTGCCTTTGATGTCCGGGGCCTAAATCAGGGGCTTCCCTTTCTAGGTTTTTCCAGCTAGGTGCCCTTTCTCTCACCCCTTTTTTCTTGGGGGGTTTGGGTTCCCCTAAAATAGACCGAGAAAGGTGGGTACCAACTCATTCTGAGCTCTCAAATCTGGAGGACCCAGTTTTGTTTGGGCTGGGTACCAACTTATTCTAACCCTACGGAGCCGCGAGCCGCGAGCCGCGAGCCCAGAGCCGCGAGCCCAGAGCCCCGAGGACGGTGAGCGAGAGCTGGGGCGCCCCCAACGAGTTCACCGAGGGGGGCCTGTGGACTACCGAGGCGGGATGCCTCTGCACCTGACCGGATATATGGGTCAAAAACAAAGCCACCAGGAAGCCGCAGGTTTTAGTCTTTGGTTTCATTTACCAGGATCTATTTTTGACCCACAGCCATATGTGCCTTCTTTGCGCGCTTTTGAGCGTCTGGATGCCGTGACCCCCTTCTGGGTTTTGCCGTTGATGAGACACAGGTGGCCTTGCCAGGGCCCTTCTTGGTTGGGCCTCTGAGTCCTTTATCTTATGGCACTGATGGGGGTGGGAGGGGGTGTCTGTTTTCTCTCCATCTTGGGCCCCTTTTTGGATGTTGTGAAGCCCCCTTTGGTGGTTTCCCTTTGCAGCAGGTGTGTAGAATTGCTTTCAATCGCCCGCTGGTTTTTGGCCCTCGGCAGCTACTTCCCTGCAAATTCGCCGAAGGAACCCCTTTGGGGGGCTTCCTTGATCTCAAATTATTGTTTTGGGCTTCAAATGGCTGTGGGTCAAAAATAGGTGCCCAAAATGGAACCCTGGTAAATGGAAACATGGACTAAAACTTGCGGTTTTCTGGCGGTTTAATTTTGACCCATACCCAAATCAATCAGCAAAAGAGTAAAGCCCGTTTTTGAAGTGTTTTCCTATTCACAGTAGTCACTGATTTTGGATAGTGTTTTAGGGTCCCCCCTCGTTCTGAAAGCTTCTCCTTTTGGCGGCCTTACACGTCAGCTTTTGGTGGGTGATGTTTACCCCTTGTCAGGGGCACCAGGGCTTTGGATCGAAAGGGCAAGGTTCACCAGATAGGCTCTGGATCGAGATCGTTGCCATTCACCGATTTGCCCAAGATCAACCTGCGTCTGAGACATGTGGCATTTCGGTTCTTGGACACCACTTTAGGGACCAACATGTTTTGGGCCGATGGATGCTTATTGTAGCTGTGTCATTCTTTGAGGCGAACACATGGGGGCTGTGTTGAAAGGAACATCAGCTGGAAACCTCCTCTTTTGGGGGGCAAAGACTGAAACAAGAAGCAACCTGGGACCTATCGCCGTTTTCTCCCATTCAAATCACCTGTTCCCGGGTTCACTTTGTCGGGATGGATCAGGATATCCATTGAGAAGACGGGGGTTCATACTGATGGCAGGTTTTCCTGTTGGTTTGTGGCCCTGTTGGTTTAAAGGGAAGTCGGTTCCCACTACCCTCCCACCAGCTAACATGGAAGTGCACAGACCCCCGTAGAAAGACTACTTTCCTCTTGGAACAGGTCTTTTTTTGCACTTCCATGTTGGTGGGAGGGTAAGTTGGAGACAAAACATCTGGCCAACTGGGGAACTGCGAGCGAGAGGCGCTGCAGCCTGGTTGGGGCTTGCCAGAGTTCCTGGCGGACACCCTCAAGAGCTTCAAAGGCCGGGTGCGCTTCGGCATCTTCACGAGGCGCCGAAAGGGGGGGAAGCTTTACGCCGGGCGTGTGTGTGCGCGTCTTTTTGTGTTTGTTTGTTTTTTGTCTCTGTCTCTGTCTCTGTCTCTGTCTCTGTCTCTGTCTGTGTCTCTCCCTCTCCCTCTCCCTCTCCCTCTCTCTCTCTCTCTCTCTCTCTCTCTTTCTCTCTCTGGAGGGTGCCGTTCTCAGGTTAGTTCAAAGGGGAGCCACAAGGAAAAACACAGTTTTGGGGTGTTCTCATAGCTTGACACATTCCACACATACCCTCCATTTGATAATGATTTTTTATCCCAACCTGGCGGAATATTCGGGGGTTGTTCCCCCCAAAGTGGCGGCAGTGCCTCTAAAATGGCTACTTCGCGCACCAGTCTCTACAAATGATGGGCTCGTTGCGACTTGCGGCAAGTGGAGGACCGCGGATGAAGAGCAGCTGCTCTTTTGGGACCTCTTCGGCGGCTTGAAGGCGGGTTTCCCGATGGGTTCCCGCTTGGGTCGGGGAGAATTGCTGGGCGGAACTCATTTTTTTTTGGCCCTTTTGCCCTCTTGGGTTTCCCTCGTTGTCCCTTTGAACCACCCAAAAGTTTTTGACAGGGAAGGAATGAGGACATCTGGTTACAGCCGCCAACCAGTCAGCTTTCTGGGTTGGCCAGTGCGGCCAAGCAAGAGAAACCGAAAGGAGGTCGTTCAGACAGGTGGAGTCCAACTGTGTCCCTTGGGTGGTTTTCAAACATCAGTGGATGGACAACACCCACTTCATACCAGTTGGTAAGTGGTTTATCATCCCAAGTGGTGGACTTTGTCCAGCTGCGGGTGAGTTCCCGGTGCCCGGCTTGCCCTTGGTTTCCCTTTAAATCCATCCAAACAAGCAAAAGACCCAGGGTCTTAACGCATTTTTTTTCTTCTCTCCTCTTTTTTTCTTCTTTGCTCGTTTTTTTTGCGCACAGTTCCACAGGACAAGTGGACCGAGGGCCTGGTGTCTCTGTTGCACTCCTTCGAGCGCGACGCCTCACCCGCGCTGCTGCGGACCTTCGTCTCCCCCGGGGCCACCCATGGAATCCACCGCTCCGAGGAGGTGTGGACGCTGCAGGTGCAAGGCGCGGTTCTTGAAAGCACAGGAAGGTGAGGGGCTGTCGTGGGTAATGTTGACTCCAGATCTTAATCAACCCCAGGTTATACCCCACCAAACCCAGGGACACCCCCCCATTCATAAGCTGGGGTTGATGAATATGGAGTCAACATTGTTGTTCAGCTGTGTGTGTGTGTGTGGTTGGGTGCTTAAGACAGAAGAGAGCCCATGCAAGCCTCCGGACCCTGCGTAAGAACAGAACCGCAAAGGTGGGGCAGAATGGAGGGTGACAGAGTGAGCTCATGATGCATCACGGCATGACCTCAGCTTGGATCTTTCCATTTGCCTGCCTTTTACCCTCTCCAAAAGCGACACGAACACACACACACACACCCACACACTCACAAATATTTTCCTGAAACTTGTGGGCCCTTTTGGTTGGGGAAAGCCACCGTCGCCCCCGGCGCCACCGCCGCCGCGTGCGCTTGGGGTGCCCCGAGCCGAGGCATCCGCTTCGTTGAGTGGCTGCGGGATCTCGGCGGCTGCCAGGCGCACGCCGCGCGGGTCTGGGACCCCGCGGTGGGCGTCGCGGCAAGCTACGCGGCGGAGAACGCCTCGGAGGCCGCCGCCTACAGCTGCGCCGCCCCGCCGCGCGGCTGGAGAGCGTTCGTTTTTTTTCCGGAAGGGGAGCCTTCGAAACTTGGGGGGTGGCGTTCATCCCCAACGAAATGATATGCAAGAAAAGCGGGCAGAGATAGAGAGATAGAGAGAGCGAGGGAGAATGGTAAGATGTCCGGGCAGAGCAAGCCAGTTTGTGTTTGACTGCGCACTCCGACACCCCTGCCGGCCCGTTACGGTTTGTTGCTTTGTTCCTGAAGCCCAGGTGTCGTACCCCATGAGTTCATGAGAGTTGACTGACGGGCCCAAAGATCCCAGCGCCGTTTTTGGTGCGAGGCTTGTGTTTTGCCTTGCTAGGGTCATGGAACTACATCATTATGCTTGTTTTGGCGGCGTTTGCCAGGGAGCAAATGGAAGCCTGTTGCCATTTGAAGAATCCTGGAGATTCCAATGCCGAGGAATTCCTAGGCGTTCTGGTTCTCAGTTTGTGTATGTTTGCCTTTTTCTTCTTCTTGTCTATTTCTCGGGCGTTTGCCACCCTTTTTTGCGGACGTTTGAAAACAATGGTCCGAAAACGGCAATGGAAGAAGACAAGCAGGCCCTCCAAAACCCCGGGAATGGAATCTATTTGGGGGTGTGTAGTCAAGAGGAAACCACCTATCTTGGAGTTTTAGGCTGTTTTGCAGCCCACGTTTCGCTGCCCAAACCACGCGCGAAAGCGAGGACCACCACCCCCGTGCCGGGCGACTCCTCAGCCTCCAGTGGCGCTTTCCCACTGATGCCGCTGGTCGCGTTGCTCGTGAGCTGCGTGTGAGGTACGGCCTGAAACACGGCTTGCGGAGAAAGCTAGGGATGTAAATATTGTGTTTTGTGTAGGGGTGCTCTTGAAGGGGGTTTATAGGGGTGTCTAAACGGGGTGCCCAGTTGATAAGTCGGAAATCCGGGTAGCTTACTTGCCGATCCCAGCGCTGCCCTGGGTTTCCAAATGCTTCCGGGAGAAACGGCAGGTTTCTGAATCAGGACAGGTGACGTTGGTTTCGTGGTAGGTTCAAGTGCGAAGGAATAGGAATAGGGCCACGAGGGGCTGCCTTGGGATGTTAGAGAAGGGAAATCAGCCAGGACTGAGAATCGGTTTCATGACTCCTTGGTCAGTATGACTTTTGTTTTGATTCGTGTGAAGCGGACACTTCTGTCGTACGCAGAAACTCGGGCAGATGCTGCTGGATTCTCTCTTTGGACATTTCCATTTGCCGTAATAAGAAGCAGAAAGGATCATGACCCGTCAGATTCATTCATTTGGGTCATTGACAAAACGGTTACCCCCTTTTCCCGAAAGCGTGCGTAGGCTGCCCGCTCGTTGCTTTCTTCCTGCCCGGTTCGGCCATTCTCCCTCGCCTGCCGCATGGCTCGCGTGAGCCAAAGAAGCGCGGCACTGCGAAAGAAGCGCGGCGGGTGACTTTGTTGCGGGGATTTTTCTTGGGCGTGTCTCGAAACGAGGCACCAACCAGCTCCCAAAAAGTATAGCCTAAAAAGAGAGAAAGAGAGAGAGAGAGAGAGAGATGGATGGAAAAAGGAAAGAGGGGAAGAAAGACACGCCCATTTCCTCAGACAGAGGGCTGTAAAGGAACATGCCAGTTCTCACCCAAGCGGGCAGGGGTATCACCCCCCCCACTTTGGGAAGTTTTTCAGGCCACTTCGCATATTCTTCCCCGCCATTAGCGCGGACGGTTAGTGGCCTCGCGCTCTGCCCAAAGCCGACCTTACGTTTGGATTTCCGCAATGTGGTCCATCAGCCAAGGGTCCAACAAGTTAGCCTTTTGTTTCCGCCTCCTTTGGGCAAGTGAGCACTTGATCCTTGCGAAGCAAGGGATCGGCGTTGAAAGAGGTCCGCCAACGGACTGGGTTCAGACGAGGTGGGTAAAAAGCAGAGAGGGTGGGGAAGGGTTTGAATGTCACGTGAGAACTCTGTGTAGGTTGTTTACATTGGGTTTGTGCCCACCCACCAGTTTGGAGGATTTTCCCCATCAACGAATCATAGCCTTCTTTAGAAAGTTGAGGTTGCACGGAATAGGATTCCTGCGGCAATCACATATACCGACTTGTACCATATGCCACCGTTCCAATTCGAGCAACCATTTTCAACTCCACTCACCACACTTTTTGCACCTCGCTGGTTTGGGTTTGCACCAACCGATTGGCTGTTAGGGGGATGAACGAGAAAACTCAACCGACCAAAACAGGACATGGTGACAAATTGGGGGGTTGGGCCCACGTGCCAGGTAATCCTATGCCCTCCCGAAGCCTGCTAGAAAGGCTTCGGTGGTATGTGAAATTCCAGTTACATTGATAACGTGGTCATGGGAATGAGAATCCCACTAGGTTTCACAAGCGCCTCCGCTTTGATTTGCTTGGGGTCTGCAAGTGTTCCGGATAATTTCGACATGGCGCCATTTTCCAATTTTTCCGCCCTGTTTTGGTAGTGCTCTTTTGGGATTCCACGTCAGGCACGCGTGTTTCGGTGTGCTCACTTCATTTTTTGGGCGGAAGAGTATGGTGCACTTCTAGGCTCAAGGGCACAGCTTCGCCTGTAATGGTAAAGAATGATGGGATCAAACATATGGCGGGCAGAACCTATGGCTCCATGTTATGGGGTGGATGAACCTCCATTTGCCACCCATTTTGATGTCCAGGGGTACGTCTTGACAACAGCCATATGGCTCCTACGCGGGGTACCCGAAGGAAGGCTCATGTTTACATCCCCCTGTGGGCCGTTTTTGGTGTTTTCTCCATGCCGTTTTGAGGCGCCTGGAAGTCAAGCTGGGTGGGGGGGGGGGCATGCCCCTTGGTGGCTCCGAAAATCGGACTACAAATGGCCCTTGAGGCTTGCGTCCGAGTTTGCGTCCGAGTTTCAAGCATGTTCGTATCAAGTAGGGTCCCCTTGGTGGAATTGCACAGGGATCGCCATTTGCCAGTTTGTCAGGATCTTCGCCAGATTCATTTTTGGGTTTTGTTTTTCTTCAGAACTTGCACCCGCTCGGGATGGTTGCAAAGAGATTGCCATTTGTGCTGGTCCACATTGCCCTCCCACATTGAAAATGACCGGGACTCCCAAGGGCACGCTAGGCAAGTTGGTGCAAGGGTCTTCTGGGAGTATCGCAAGGGCACGAATCGGGTCAAAAGTCCATGGGTCTGCATGCTCAAATGGACCCGCTAGGAGAGCATCCTCCCCATCCTCCGGGATGCGCAGGCGAGACAGCGTTGGGCTCGCGGTGCGTTTTTTTTGGGCGATTGGCGTTTGGGCGAACCCCCCCCTTTCTCGCTGGTCGAAGGTAGTTCTTCCCTCTTGTTCATGTGGGTATGGGTCGAATTCAAGCCACTAGACCACGGGTTTTGGTCCTTGATTCCATTTACCCGGGTCAACCCATTTTTTCACCCACGGCCATGTAGCTGTCAACCACCCCCCCTTTCAAACCGATCGTTTACCAACCTCTGGAAGCAAGGGTTCGAGGTTCTGCTGGGATATCCGCCACAGTTCTAGGGTACCTTTCCCATTCTAAACCCAGGGATCCTTCTTAGAAAGCCTCCGGAAACCAAAAAAAAAGCGGATCCGGTTTTTGGAAAGTACGATGGTGAAAAAGAATGGAAAAGGAAGCAACCCCTAGAACAGTGGCTGTTCGCGTTGGCCATTTCCGGGTCCATGGCTGAGGCTTTGCGACTCTGCGACTGAACGGCCAAGGCTCCTGGCCGGGCTCAAATTGAGGGGAGAAAGACACCTTTCTGGGATGCCTTTGAAGGAGAAACGAAAGGGACACCAACTACAAAATACCCTCCGACCAACAAACATTATAAAACTCCTTAAGGCTCCACCTGCTTTCGTCTCAAGAAAGCAGGTGGAAGCGTTGTACAGCATGGGAAATGCCAATAGCTTCTTTCGGCCTCATTTCTACTGCAGTCATGCCCAGAACAGAGGACCTTACTAATCACAGGAATCTCCTAAGATCATGTGTGACTCAAATGGGCGATATATCCAAACAAGGCCTGGAAAAGTCCAAAGTGGTTCAAGCTGCTTATATCAGGGTCCCTCCAGTAGCCTGTGGAGTGAGAATGTTGTTTTGGCATTTGTTGCTTCTCTTCTGTACAGGTCTATTTCTCATTTCCCCCCCGCCCCCCCAAAAACACACACACACACACACACACACACACACACACACACACACACACACACACACACACACACACACACACACACACACACACACACACACACACACACACACACACACACACACACACACACACACACACACACACACACACACACACACACACACACACACACACACACACACACACACACACACACACACACACACACACACACACACACACACACACACACACACACACACACACACACACACACACACACACACACACACACACACACACACACACACACACACACACACACACACACACACACACACACACACACACACACACACACACACACACACACACACACACACACACACACACACACACACACACACACACACACACACACACACACACACACACACACACACACACACACACACACACACACACACACACACACACACACACACACACACACACACACACACACACACACACACACACACACACACACACACACACACACACACACACACACACACACACACACACACACACACACACACACACACACACACACACACACACACACACACACACACACACACACACACACACACACACACACACACACACACACACACACACACACACACACACACACACACACACACACACACACACACACACACACACACACACACACACACACACACACACACACACACACACACACACACACACACACACACACACACACACACACACACACACACACACACACACACACACACACACACACACACACACACACACACACACACACACACACACACACACACACACACACACACACACACACACACACACACACACACACACACACACACACACACACACACACACACACACACACACACACACACACACACACACACACACACACACACACACACACACACACACACACACACACACACACACACACACACACACACACACACACACACACACACACACACACACACACACACACACACACACACACACACACACACACACACACACACACACACACTAACGACACCGGAGAGCAGACATCCTAAGCTAGTCCGGTCCAATTCCCAACAACCCAAAGTGGGGTAAACAAACAACATCACTTTTAAGCAAGCTCGATCTCCGGAGCCGAAGCGAGTGTACTCGATCCGGGCTTTCTGCGCGTTCTGACCGCTGAGAGAAACAATTTGGAGAATGAGAGCCTTGTGTGAATTAACCTCTGGTTGATCAACAGAGGGTGTCCTCTTTTGGGAATTTTCAGCTTTGTGGGCGACGCAGAAGAGCCAGATGGCATTCCTTTTCATTACTTTGCTGAAGAGCAAAGTGAAGAAAAACACACACACACACACACAAACCAAAAAAACCAAATCCCAACGCCAACAATGCAGGCGGAGAACAAGACACAAAGCAAACCGTGACAATGATTGCATGCATGTGCAATTTGACAACTCCATGTGTGGTTTTTGGCAAGTACATAGAGACATAGAACCAAGGGGAGACAACAAACCAGCGAACGACCACGGACAAACAGAATGGTGCTTTTTTGTCGACCTCAATTTGGGTTTGTCTTTTTTAGGAGAGCCCCAAAAAATGGTTTTCCTCTTAAATTGGTTTCCCTTTCCAACCCACAAAAGCAAAGGTGCGCTCTAACAACACATTCCCATTTCCTTTGTTGTTTCGGCCTACAGTTTCGGGGTCGAACGCCGCTAAGAGTTTCGGCTTCCACCAAACAGAACCCAGGGAGTCCCCGTCCCCGGCGACGGAGAGGCTCGCTTGCTCCGGCCAGACTGTACGTTTGGGCTCCCAGCGGCCGGTGGTCTATGGCTGAAACCGCGTGTTTCGAGTTCCGTGCCCAGCCTAACCATCACTTTTGTGGGCACAAGTGTACTTCCTTTGAGGTAGGGAAACCGCTTGCTTTTTTTCACACTACTATACGTATATATATTATAATAAAAGTATACATGTAAGGATCCTTCTGGCCTTACAAGAGCTTAGTGAAGAAATGGCTGGTTTTGCATGTCTCTGTGTGTTTGGGGCGTCCATCCCGGATGATCCAGCAGTGAACGGCCCGGTTGACGGACCGCCAAAATCCGTGGGAGAGAACGATTGGAGATGCCAACAGCACATTGCTCTTCTTGATGGTGCGATAGGCAATGAGTCGCCATGACCCCCGCAAACCATCCAACTGGCGGTCTCCTTTCAGGGAATCTCAAGGTTCATTGCCAAAGCCCGGAACGGTCATTCCCTACTGAGCACCAGCAAGTCTTCTCATGCTTTGTGCTTCTTCCTAGTGGAGACCACCTGAAAATGGTCGGGGGGAGGGGGAGGGAGCCTAAATATGTCCTAAATAAGGCCGTATTAAGAGCTTAATAAGGGTTTGGGCTCCCTCCCCCTCCCCTCCCTCCCCCCAAGCCCCCATGAAAATGAAAGGGATCCCTCATTCAAGATACTTGAAGGCGCAGCGTACTGATTGGTTAACCATGAGAATCACCCACCGGTTGTCTTGCCATTTCCATCCACCCTGCCCCTTCAAGTGCCTGCAGGAATGCGGACACCTCCGCTGGCTTTTTTCTTAGGGAAAGCGACCGAAAACACCAAAAAAGGAACCTTTCCGCTTAAGTAGAGTTGCTGAGGAGACGGGTAGTTTGTCTTCCTTTTGTAACTCGGGGGCCAAGTTTCTAGTCACTCATACTAATTGGAATGATGGTCTTTGTAGTTTCTTCGATGTTGCAACCACCAAAGGGAACGTGGAAGGTTGCCCTTGAGTTTTAGGTTGGGCCCTTCAGGTCATTTTAAATACTTGTTTGCAGGGATGCAGAAAAGCCAAAGCTTGATGCCGACGGTATAAGGTGTCCTTTTTGGTTGGTTTGGTTGAAAAATAGAGGGCGATTCCTGGTTTACCTGGTGGGTTTTTCGCATCTACCGGGGAAATCCATCCATTTTCCGGATTCCGACATCACCTCGAATTCGCCGGCACCTCGAAGCTCCCAGGTTCGTGCCGCGACGGGTGGCGCCGCCATGCTTCGGTGCTTCGGTCCTTCGGTCCCGGTGCTTTCCCGATCTCGTCGAGCAGGGCTTGGTGCTGCCCTGGCGCTGAGTCACAAGGAAAACCTGAAAAGGTCTACGCACGGCAAAGAAGAACAGTTGCTCCTTGGGAAGGGACTGTCTATGGGCTTCGTTCTTGTGGCTGAATCCGCCACAAGAAGCTAAGGAAAGCTTAACTGCAAGATGTTGACTACCTCGACTCGGCCTCGCAATGCTCGGCGCTTTTGCCCCACAAAAGACATACACTGCAAAGTAAACATGGAACCCTATAGGCCGTCATTTGAGGACACTCCTTTTGGGGACCCCCTTTTTGGGCTCAATGTAGGTGTGTCTCTTTCCTCAAAATGCTTTCGGTTTGCTCTTTTGGTTTCCCTTTAAAACCAACCAACAGGGGGTTCCCGGAAATGGGGAAAACAAACACGACGCCCCATGGGTTTGATTCGCTGTGATTTGTTCAATTCGGACCCATGTGCTCAGGCTGAATGTGAGTGTGTGTGTGTGGTTGTATCACGCCGAGCTGAAAACCATCGAGGTTCCCTGTTTATGTTTCTGTTGGCCCTAAAATGCTTCTTTCGGTTTATGTATATGTCTTTCCCTGTTTTCTAGGGGTACCTTCCCCATTCTTTTCAGGGATCCTTCTTTTCAGGAAACCATCAAAAACCCAGGGGAAACAGCAGTTTTTTTTGAAAAGAACGAGGGTTGAAAAGAATGAGGAATCAACCCTAGATGTTTATGTTTTTCATTTGGGTTCCTTTTGGTTCGGTCCATGTTGAGAAGCTCCATGTTGCGCTGGCATGAGAGGTGACGGTCCGCTGCCGGCTCGTGAGCTGCCGGGCCCTTGCCGCCGGAATTCTGGGTGTGATTTGTTTGTGCCCAGAGCATTCTTCTTTGCATGTTTGTATCTTTGCAGGCGAACTGGCTTATATTTATACACCCGATGCAAAACAAAAGAACAGTTTTTGGATCTTTGGTCCGACCTCGAGCCAGACATTGGGCTCATGGGCCAAGATTTGAGTCCTTCGGTCCTCAAAACCGAAACCCGGGGGTTGATCCGGTAAGGGACGATCCCCTTGCCGTCAAAATCGCCGCGGATCTTTGTGCCTTCTGAATTCTTGAGGCATGGTTCTGGGATTACGGTACCATTTTAGTACCGGGTTTTGAGCAAGTGAATCATTTGGAGCTTTGCGAGTCGCTGCAGGGAGCTGCTCACAAACACCCAAGTTCTGGCTTCAGATGGGGAGTTCTTTAATTCAGTTGGACCCTCGAGCAAGGTCCGGAACGTGCTTCTTGTTTATCGCAGCCGTTTACCGGGGACCCCAGTTTCAACCACCTCCCTCATGTAATCTCCTAACTAAGTTCAGCATTAGTCCTAATGTTTACTTTTTGGTAATGTTGATAATTCGTATCCTTGTACTAAACTTTGAGCAAGATTCAAACATGTGAAATGAAACATATGGGTATGTGTCGGAGTTCGGGGCTCCCCACAATGGTGGTTTTTGCTCTTAAACAAACCTGGAAAGGGTACCCTCAATAAACCCATTTGTGACGAAGTGGTGCACCCAAAACCATGTCCAGAGTCTGGTTGGGACCGCACCGCTACTCACTTATCCAGAATTTGATTGTGGTTCATTTTTGTGCCCCGGACAGAATTACAGACTTGGGACTGCATATCGATATCAATCATCTGAAGGGGTTCTCGCATTGTGTAGGAACATTTGAGCCAACTGGCTTCCGAACTTTCGAAGGCTTCCGCAAGAGGACATGGGACACCTATTTTGACACAGACCCAATTGTTTGGAGAGTTCCATATCTGATGCTTTTCTCGGGTAGGGAGACACCAAAACAGGCATCCTCACAACAAAGCCACTCCCAGCAAATTATCCAAGACTCTGGGGACTTCGTACCAGGGCCATTCGTACTAGGGATTGGTGTCTCAAAAGCACAAACTCTTCCTTCCAAATCAAACAACCCCTGTATAAAACATACCCTCAATCAAAAACCAAAGCTTCCATGATCCCGTTTAGGGTGTCTCTTTTGAGGGTACCCTTTTTGGTTGGTTTCAAAAGGAAGCCGAAAGGAAAGCCAGAAAGAGACACCCACAAAACCCAAGCTTCCAGAACCCCACTTCAATTTCCCATGCCCCCATTCGGGGTGGTCTCTTTTTAGGGAGAACCCCCCAAGGGAAGCCAGAAGGCCCACGAACAGGTCCGGGGCCACAAGGAATCGCGGCAGGTGCTTTGCTCCCCGGCAAAGGCTGCGACATCTTCGCATCCTTGCACAGGGCTCCTTAAAGGATACAATTTGAAACATGGGAAACCACAATTTACAAGGCACTGTTCAGGTGTATAATGTAAGGATCCCTGTAGGAACACCGAAATCCCCTGTTTAAGTAACACCAGCCCCATGTCCCATGGCCCCGTTGAACCCACCCTTTTGCGGCTCGCCGGGCCTTCAAATTGGCCCTCGGGCCAATTTGCGGCCTTAGGCCCGACGCTGGCGCCGGCCGACCTGCCGGAGCTGCGGGGCGCGGCCTGGCCGCTGATGCTGGGGCAGATGAGCCCAGGCGTGGGTCACCGCGCGCTGAACGAGACCGCGTCTTCGAATTTGTTTCGGTGTTCCGTTTGGGTTCCCCTTCAAAAGAAAGAAGAAGTGGTGTCACCCCCTAAAACACAACAACCCCAAATAAAGCCATGGAAGTATGGGTCCTTTTTGGATGGTATTCTTTTGCGAGGAGCGGGGGGGGGGGGTTGTGTGGTTTTGAACATCGGGTCGCGAGAAAACCCGTGAGCCGGTCCTCCGGCTCTTGATGGCAATCTGGTGACGGATCCTTGGACCTGAGCTTCCGGGTTGAAGGTCGGATTTTCCAGTTGGGGCCCAACCAAAAGTCATTATCACTTTTTGCGGAGGGGTCCACAAAGAAGCCAAGCTTGTTTGTTTCCTTTCCAGCAGTTGTTTTTATTCATATGTCACCAACAGTTTCTACTTGTCATTGTCACTATCATCATTATCGCTATTTGGGTTCCTCTGTTACATGTCCACCTTTTATACACCTCATACTCATATATCTAGTTGTGTCTGTTTGCCTTAGATAGTTGACGCTTCCCGAAAATATTGTAGTGTTGGTTCCTTAGATATTTGTGTGCTGAGCATCCGTTGCTTTTGTACTTCCAGGCCTGTGCCTTTCAGCTTCCTCAACTTTTTGATGGTGAGCCATGGAACTGCTGAAAGGTTGGTGTCCCACAACCGTGACATGGACTCTTGCAAGCTCTTTCCTCGGGTTCCCTTGAGTCACGTCCTCAAAACCCGGGTAGATGATCCGGTTAGTAAGGGACGATCCCAACCAGAAATAGCTGCGGATATCCGCCTTCTTAATTGGTTCTGGGATTACGGCCATTTCATGACTCACATGAACTCTTGCAAAATAATCTTGGTGGTTCGCAGCCATCCCCTTAGCTTCTTAGCTTTTTAGTGTTTAGTGGGGATTTCCACTTAACCCACTAAAAGTTAGTCACTTTTCTCAAGGGATCTGAGGACAGCCCAGTATTGTCCGGCAAAGGGGAACTGAGTTCAAGCTTTTTGCTGGCTGAGGTTTAACCCAGTAGAACTTAAACTTTTAGTGGGGGATCTGAGGGCGGCCCAGGTTTGTTCTTTGAACGTGATTGCAATTTCCACGCGGCCAATCGTGGAAGCACGAAACGCAGGTCCCATGTCTCCCTCGTCTCAGGCTTTCAGTCGGGAGTGGCCGGCGAGGCAGCTGCGTGACATGGTCGGCCGATGTGTTTGTTTGGGTCGCTTTCAACTGATACCCTCCCACCAAATGAACATGGAAACTGACGTTTTGGGGTGGAAGACCATTTTCCCTTTAGAATGACCCCAAAACGTCAGGCTCCAAGTGAATTGAGAGGGTAATCGATGACGCTGGCTTCAGTTTCGATGTTCATTGGCCAGATGCCTGTTGTTGTTTTTCCAAAAGGACACCTGTAAGTCACTTCCTGTAGTTACATGGGCGTGGGTTAAAAATAGGTACCCAACCTGGGACTCGGGACCCTGGTAAATGGAAACAAGGACCAAAACCTGCGGTCCCCTGGTGGTGTCATTTTGACCCATACCCAACTCTGTTTCTTGGGATTTGGATGGCTGGATGTGCTTAAGCCCTGCCGCCCTGCCGGGTTGCACGTGGAGATCGAGCCGTGAAGTCTGTGAGCTCGGGGCCTCTGCTGGGTGCACTCCTCTGGATCCATTGGAAGGTTTCTTCGCGTGGATCGATCCATTTGAGGATCGCACCCTCTGACGAGTTCGAAGTCAAGAGGCAAGTTGGCAAAACCAGGGTTCGGCCTCTGAAAACAGCAAAACCGCCTGGCAAAGCTGGAAAAGGGGGGCCGAAGACTCCACGAAGGTCGCCATTCTGTCGACACTCCGTGTGCCTTCCCGGCCTCAAGTCAACCTCTGAAACCATGGACCTGCCATTTTAGGTGGCTGAAGCCAAAGCCAGTCGGCTTCTGAGTTGCTCGTCAAGTTGAACCGATGCACCGCAGCCTTGTGATATGGAGCGGGAGTTTCGTAGGGCCAGCCTCGACCTCCGCTTTGACTTATGGCTCACCAGCCTTAAACACAGGTCTGGGGTTCAAAAGGCAGGGCCCCAATTCAGCCCCAGCAACTTGCACTTTTCCGGATTTTGGGGGGGTGCATGTGTGCTCAGTTGTTTTGCTTTTCTTTTGGGTCGTTTTCATGGACGGCAGGGGGAAACCGACGCCCGCTTGGTGGTTCCGACCATGGAGAGGTGTTGACGGCACTCTCCGATGCTTGGGATGCCTTCGACATCGACTTTGGTCGCCTGCCCGGGAGCTCAGGTTGACGTGAGGCTAGCGCTCGGATCTCGTCGACAGGTCCAGTGGATTTCTGGGTGGTACAAGAAAAACTACTAAAAAACAAAGCGGTGGGATCTCCTGCTTGCTTTCCCCTCACCACCCTAGAAAAAATGAAAGTGTCCCCGTTTCTTGTTGGGATTCAGGCCAGTTTTGAGGTTGCTCAACCCCGAAAGATCTGCCAGGTTGGACATAGGCTGGTGCTTGGGGACTTGGAATGATTTCGGGGATTCCGTAGGAAGCTGCACCAGTTGGGATGCATGAAACGATAAATACTGGGATAAATAGGATCTTTCCCATCCACCGAATGACAGGTCCCGTGTCGGTCGTGGGGTACTCATCGTTGTTCCAGCTTGTAGTTGAGGTCGTGCACTTAGCCATGTCCGGCAGACAATGTGCAGCAGGCTTCTTTACCAGCGAGAACAGTGACAAGGACGGGTGCGAATGATTCCAACGAAGGAGCAACCCAGAATCCTGTAGACAACAACTGTTGAGAGAGGGTAGATGCCCTAAACAGAAAGCAAGGGGAAGAAGGGATCCTTGCAACTTGCCACAATCCGCCCAGCTGTGGCTGGATGTGGCACCACTTTCAATGTGAACTCACATTGGAAATACCCTCCCAGCATGACGCCTGTGCCCCCGGGAAAGCCATTTCCTCACGGGCCGTTTCGTTTGGTTCCAGGTCAGTGGGTTGGTCCTTCGTGTTGGTCCGCACCTGTCCGCACAATCATCTGAGCATCCGGGGAAACAAAAACAAAACAAAGGCAAAAAAGAAAGAAAGCAGAACGGACCAAAACATGGGTCACCCATTCGACCCCCTATGGGTCACCTACGCCCCGCCCCGCCGCTTTACTGCCCCGCTCGAGGCCGGAAGTGCCTCGTGCAGAGCCCTCCACGGTGAAGGTGACGCGAGCTGGCGCCCGGGGCCCAAGGATCGATCGGGTCAGGAGCGGGAGGACTTCCAGATCTCACCGTCGACCGAAACCCAGAGATTGGTTCAGTACCCAAAGCTTTGGGTTCAGTACCCCCCAAAAAGACGGAACTAGCATGTTGCAAAGGGAACAAAGGGACCCTCTCATGTACCCGGGTCTTGTTTGATTCCACGCATGCATTTTTGGACCCATGTCATGGAGTCTTCCTGCAGGTGTTTTCCTGGGGGGGGGGGGCTGGGGGAAACAACCCGATGTTCGGGAAGTCTGCATGGTGATCGTGAGCGATTCTTGGCTTCGGAGCGAAACGCCCACTCGGTCCAGGGAGCATTTTTGCGCCCCTTTTGTCAGGCGCGCCAACCCTCGGGTTCCAAAAACTCGTCTGAATCTCTGGGAGGCTGCTGGGACTTGAGCCCAGAGACTCCCCCAAAAAAGCAGAAGTTCGACTCGACTGCCCATAGGAACCCATGCGATCCCGCGAACAGGAGCAGATGGGGATGAAGTGAGCAATTGGTTGGAGTCAATGGTTGGTGTTGCCCCCCCACAAAGACTGGGTGAGCCTTCTCTCAACGTCGGCGTGGGGGTTCCGGAGACCCCCGGTTTGACAGGGCTCCTGAAAAGATACATTTGCAACCATTTGAAACATGTTGCTTTTTCAACACAAAAATGAAGGTGGAAGCCACCATTTACAAGTTGCAATGCTCGATCGGAGTTTTTCATGCACCCGGATCCCCATTTAGGACCCCCTTTGGCATGTCGCATTCGCTTCCCGGCTCCGAGGCGGCGCACGCCGTTGCCTGGTGGTGGGAGCTGGATCTGGGCCCGAGGGCCTGGGGTGGCAGGGTGGCCTTCGCTCCTTCTCGGTTTTTTCGGTTTTTCGGTGTTTTTGGTTGGTCCTTAGGTGGTTTCCGAAGTTCACCCAGCTAGTCACTAGTCACTGTTGGCGGAAATTGAAAACGGACCCAGGTACGTGGTATGGACAGGGAGAGGTTTGGAGGAGAATTGGAGGCCTCAAACCTCCACTTTGATTGTCGGAGAAAGTGGGTGTTTCAGGGTTGATCAGAATGGTCCGGTAAACAGGGGATGACCCTTGGGGGAAAACCATGATATTTCAACGACGAAATGGACACAGTTACCCATGGTCATTTTGCAGGGAGTATTGATCCACCCCATTTCTGAATGTCACGACAGCTCCTCCACTGGCACGGCTTGTGCCAGATTTTGTCAGCTCTGTAGATGGGCGATTGCAGTGTTGCCCCTTAGCAATGGACTTGAGCCTCTCATCTTGCAGCAAGCAAAATCCCGCCTCATCAAAAGCAGAGCATGCGTGGCAGGTATGCTGAGGAAGCCGATGTCGCAGGTTCCAAGTCCTGCACAATTTGGGAACTTTTTGCTCCAACTGCTGGGACAGGACACCTTTCCAGAAGAAAAGGTTTTTTGGGTCAAACGTGCAGGACGCGGCTTTTGGAAGACGACCAGTGTTTTTCGGCTTTAAACCCACTTCCGTCACTGGAAAAAAATGGGTCACCCTTAGCCAGAAGCTGTAAGATGTTTAGAGGGATCTTCTGGGGAAGGACCCATGTTTGACGGTTCCAATTTCCTCAGGTTCGGAAGACCAGAAATTCCAAGGCCATCGCTTTGGTCTTTGGCTGGACCATTGCTTTGGTCTTTGGCTTGGGTCAGCTCCCCTGAACCACAACAATAACTCTACACAACATACATTTGGAACCCGGCTGTGAGACCAATTGGGTAGTTCTGGTGACCTCCCCATGAAGCGCACCTTCCAGTGATCCTTCTTTCCAGAAAGCCGCTAAATGCGTGGGAGACGGCCAAGGAGTCAACCTCCCAAGACAGGAACTCCAAGAAGGGGCTCTGCCGGATAGGGCTGTGGCTCAAAAATCCGGTACCAAAATGGAACCCTGGTAAGTGGAAACATGTACCAAATCTGCGTAACCCCTCCTGTTTAATTTTGAGCCACACCCATATAATAGTCCTCCAAAGTGGGACCTGTCTCCATGAACCAACCAGATAGAAATCGGCTCGGAGACCCGCCGCTTTTTGTGGCTTTCGCCCGGATCTTTCTTCATGTCTTTTTGTTTGTTTTGTACTCTTTTGGTGATCCCACAAAGGTCCGGGTAATCCACAGCGGGCGATCGCCACAAAGCGCCGGAGCCAAACATCGTCTCCGCTCTCAGGTGGAGGGCTTCGGCACAGCAGCTGGACAACGGCCGGGCGGGGCGGTGGCTGTGGAGCGGACGGGCTGCGGTTGGGGTGTTGGTCCTGGAGTTGCTTTTGGAGTTCCTCTCAACCAGCAAAAAAGGGGGGGATGAGATGGTCTTAAATGTGTCTGTCCCAAAAACAGGTTGCATCATTTTTCAAGGGCCACTTGATGAATATGGGGTCGGGTCGAAATTTAAGCCCATGTTCAGCACTAGCTGCGGTGAACATGCAGCAATGTTCAATTTTGGAAGGTCAATGGAGGACTTACTGACTAGCGAGAGGTGCGTAGGGAAGCGCACCGATGCACCCACGGACACGTCTTCTTTTAGGTGCAGCGCGCAAAGAGTCCCTATTTCAAATACTGACCTCGCGGCTGACAGAAGTGGGACTCAGTTTTTTTTGGTTTCTGGGATACAGGCGCTGCTCTTGTCCAATGGTTCTAGGCGATTGGTCGCAGAGGTGTTTCAACTGAAATGGGACCCCCCCTTCAAGTAAAGTCACCAAAGAAGGGGGTCCGCCTTCTTCGCCCAAGGGGCAAGGCGCCAAGCCCGGCCCCAACGATTTTCAATCAGCCGTTTGCTTTGCCGAACCTCCGATTTGCAGAGTGTCAGCTGGACTCCCCATTCGAACTTCTTCCCGAGCCGGAGGTGTTTCCTTTGTCTCGTTTGTTCCCGTCGGAGGGACATCCATGCTGCACCTCATTCTTCCGCCATTTTTGGACTCTCAAAGAGCCCTGCCGATTAAAACCCAACACTTGCTGCAGACTTGTGGAATATCCAAAGACTTTGTTGTCTGTTTGCTTGCTTGCTTGCTTGCTTGCTTGCTTGCTTGCTTGCTTGCTTGCTTGCTTGCTTGCTTTGCTTGCTTGCTTGCTTGCTTGCTTGCTTGCTTGCTTGCTTGCTTGCTTGCTTGCTTGCTTGCTTGCTTGCTTGCTTGCTTGCTTGCTTGCTTGCTTGCTTGCTTGCTTGCTTGCTTGCTTGCTTGCTTGCTTGCTTGCTTGCTTGCTTGCTTGCTTGCTTGCTTGCTTGCTTGCTTGCTTGCTTGCTTGCTTGCTTGCTTGCTTGCTTGCTTGCTTGCTTGCTTGCTTGCTTGCTTGCTTGCTTGCTTGCTTGCTTGCTTGCTTGCTTGCTTGCTTGCTTGCTTGCTTGCTTGCTTGCTTGCTTGCTTGCTTGCTTGCTTGACTGCTTCTTCCCTGTTTTTTGTTTTGTTTTTTGTTTGTTCGTCTGGTTGTTTGTTCGCTTACTTGTTTGTTTGGTTGCTAGTTTGCTAGTTCTTTGTGTGCTTGCCTGTTCTTTCTTTCTTTCTTTCTTTCCTTCACTTCCTTCCTTCCTTTGCTTTTATTCTTCTCTTCTCTTCTCTTCAGTTATCTTTTTTCTTTCCTTTGTTCTTCCTTTGTTGCTTCCTTTAATTCTTTCTTTCTTTCTTTCTTGCTTTATTTCTTTCTGTCTGTCTTGCTTTCTTGCTTTATTTCTTTCTGTCTGTCTTGCTTTCTTTGTTTCTTTCTTTCTTTCTTTCTTTCTTGCTGTCTCTGCCCCTCTCTCTCTCTCTCTTTGTGCCTGCCTGCCTTGCTGCATGGTCTCCCTCCCTGCCTGACTGTCTGCTTGTTTGCTGCTTGCTTGCTTGCCCCAGCGGATGTTTTGCTCCCACCAAGGCGGCTCGCTCAGATGAAGCGCGCCCTGTCGGGACCTCAGCCCAAGCAACCGAGCGCAGTGGGACAATTAAAGATGAAACAATCACTTGCAAGCAAAAGCTGAAGTAGGTTAAAAGCGAGTTGAAACCTGGGCAGCTGAAGATTTTTGTAGGGGACGGTCACCAAATCAGTGCGACAAACAGCCCTTTTTGTATTCTGGGCCGCTTGTTTGTGTATATTGTTCGATTCCAGGTCGACTATCACGCGTTTAGCTGGGTTGATGAGCAACCTCAAGAGGATAGGAGGGTTAAAAGAACCCACCCAATTCTAATTCTTGCCAAGGTCCATCCAAAAGTTCCCAAGCCGACTTTACGCAGGAGACACACGTGACTTCTGAAATGTCGATCCAGATTAACAACTCCCAGTTGATTGATAGGGGCTTGCACGTACTCCATTGGGCAGTTGCACCATCAATTAATCCGGAGGCAGCATTCGTGTTGCGTGAGGCCAGGAACCACTGGCGGCCCTGCCTGTCCTTTCTGGGACGCCTTGACGTTGAAGAAGGCCGCTCCTTCCGCTTTCTGCGTTTGCTGTCACCGCGCTGGCGTTTCACAAAACCGCGAACCCCACAAAAAACAGGGTGGTTTATAGCCCTCATGCATAGGTCCAGTCATGTTGCGGTTTAGAAGCAGCATTTTGAGTCAAGCAGAACACTTTGACTCCTTTCAAGTTTTAGGCTTGCTTGAGCAAACCAGACCCAGGAAAGATGAAAGCAATGTTCGCATTTCGGAGCCCATGATATGGTTAATCTCTGGGTGAGATTATTGCTCAGGAAACAGAGGGCTCAAGTCGCACATTGACAGCTCCTGCACTTGCAGGAAGGAGGGAGACGAGATGTGCCATTTTTGACGCTGACAAGGGAAGAAGGGCTTGGACAGAACTCGTGGCTTGACAAATCGAAGATTGTGGGTGGCACCGAAATTCGATCACGCTGCAAGCGCGGCCATGTCAGCGAAAGAAGCAGCATTTCCATGATTGATCTAGCAGCCCCAAGGGCTCGTAAAACAAAGATTCAGCCCGCGCTGCAGCCGTCGCGCCGTTTCAATCAAGGCTCCGCAAACTTTGACTTGACTGTCAGCATGGATATTTGTTTCTGTCGCCCGTGTCCCTTGCGCGCCGAATTGAATGAGTAGTCAAACTTGTGGACACCTTTTACTAGCCAGCCGAAACAGATCTCTGAACAGAACAGGGGAACGAGCTGTTGCGAAGAATAAGGGGACCTGAACGCGGAGAAACTCTCAGAGAGGGGGGGGGGCTCTTTATTTTTCCGAGGGAGCTGAGGTTTTGACCAGCCTCCAAATGGTCAAATTGATATCTTGCAGTGGTTTAATGACCCCTTGCCAAGAAGGGGGTGCTTGGACGACGCACACATGGGTGCTGCCAAAAATCCAGGTTTGGGCCGGTTTCTGCCGGCTCCTTCATATAAATCCCTATCCAGAAGGAGGGACCCGAGCCGTGACCCACAGAATTCATCGCGGCCTGCCAAAGTGCGTCAAAGCTGCTTGGACCCTTTCAAAGGCCGGTTATGTTCTTCTTCTTTGGAGCAAATTGTGGCCATGTACCTCAACCAGCATGTTATGTTTCTTTCTTTTTGTTTAAGGGCCACTGACTTAGATTGATGAGTGATTATATGGCTATGGACTTTTATTGGGAACCACCTCAATAGTGGTTGGTGGACATGAATCCCTACCCAAATGATGTCCGCCAAAGGGTCCCCGATGACATACCATACAGTGATTTTCAGCCAGAAGTTGCCACGATAAATGCGTTCTTTCTCTTCAAACAGCTAGCTTAAGAATTACCTTTTTCTTTCTGCCGGTCAAGATGCCACCCAGAAGGGTCCTGCTGTTCCTGTGACTCCCTTTTGGTTGCCAATTCAAAGTGAGTTTCCTCCAGGGGGTGATGCCTTTAGGTTGACACCTCTTGGGAACCACACATTTGCCAATTTGGGTGTGTTGCATATTCTCGCGTGAATACCCAAATGAAAGCTCCGGATGTTGCTCCGGATGTTGGAACCAGGACGAGGATCCATCCTGCCACTACCTTAGTTGTACTCTCATTTCGGTGTGTTGCATATTCTCCCATGCAGTTCCCTTTGAAAGCCAGCAAGTTGTGGCAGCCTAGGTCACATTCCAATTCGAAGTCCCCCAAATCCTGGCGGGTCAGAATCCGCATGGCCCCTTGTTTGGTGGTTCTCAGCCAGTCGGTTCCTTAGGTTTTAGGTTTCTCGGGTTGATAGGTTTTTTAGGGTTAGTTAAACTTTCAGCAGGGGATCTGAGGACAGCCCAGTTATTTGGCCATGGGTCAAAATCCCGTACCCCCAAGTGAACATCCCAATTCCCACTAAAATAGACTAAAATGGGTGGTGCACCTACCCCAAACCAAAACGGTACCAAAACGGTTTTGACCCACAGCCATTTAGTTACCCTCTCTCCCACTAACATGGCACGTGAAAGGGGGTCCCTCCAAGAGGAACGTGATCTTTCAGGTACCCTCTCACAGGTGCCATGAAAGTGAGAGGGAGGGGATTAGGCAACGAACTTCCAAGAAGAAAGCGTCCAAACATCTCACTGGCCGCGAGGCCAAGAGGTGGCGGTCACGGCCGCGCATGATGACGAGGGCGTGTGGTTCACCTGGGGCTGCCAAGGCCATGGGGTGGACCGTCCATGGCCCGAGGGAAACCGAAAGAAGGTGAAAGAAGGTGGGTCCATCTCAGTCGACTCCCTGCCCAGCATTTTCAGGCAAGTTGACCAAAGACATCAACAAAGTAGCTCACCCCATCCACATGGCGGGTTCCGCCTCATTTAAAAGACCTTCCATTGACGAAAGGCCTCCTTTCATCCCTCTGGCTTGAGGACAGGACCGAGCCGAAGTTGTGGCGTTTGTCAGGCAGAGCTTGTGCATCATGTTCGCTATGAAGGCCCTCGAAAAGAGAGATCAACAACTTTTGCTGTTCTTTTTGGGGGGGATGTGTGTGTGTGTGTGTGTGTGTGTGTGTGTCCCTGAAACGCGTGCAAGGGTTGTCGATTTTAGGAAACACTCAGGCAAGTGGGGACTCTCTTGTCATCAGCCCCCCCCCCCCCAAGAGCTGAGCTCCTGCTTTGTTGCGGTACCCGCGGCAGGAGGCTTTTTTTTGGCGAAACCAACAGGAAAGCAACCATTTGTAGTTGTCTCGTATTTTGACACATACCCAAAATCTTTGGCTGCGTTGGCTTGTCCCATTTTATCAGTTGGTTTTTACGGGGAGATGAGCCTGACCGGCAACATAGTTCTTTGCTTGCACCAAGAGCAAAGATGGATTTACATACATCTTCAGTTGAATGCTTTCGCAAAAGAACGATGGGTGAAGACAATGATTAGAATCAACAAGAAACATTGTCCCAGGGATGGGAAACCTAATTTGGCACCTCTGTCCTTCCAGGCCAAGAGGTAGGACAAGCCTTCCTGAGGTTCTTGGATAGAACGCGTCCTTGTTTTCTTTCCGAAGTTCCAAGCACCTTTCGTTTCCAAGGAAGCCAGGGATCCCGGGATTCAGAGAAAATGACCACTTGGATGGTGTTTAAAGGGAAGCCAGGACCCAGCCGGCTGTAAGGGGTCCTGTCGTTTGGAATCCTTGACCATCTTATTTGAGCCCCACTCAACACCGGTTGAAGGTTAGTAAGGGACAGTCCAAGCCAGAATTTGGTGCGGGCCGGCTTTGTAGTTCTTTCCAACATTGGTTTGGGTGGACCGTTTTAATGAGATTGTCAAGGATTCCAAACCAGGACCCCTAAATCCGGCTGGGTCCTGGAACCCCCCTTCAAACACCATGCAAGTGGTCATTTCCTTTGAATTCTGGGATCCCTGGCTTCCTGTTAGTGTCATTGTGGAACCGAACTCTTGGCCTGGAAAAGGCGAAGACTCCGGCCCATTCAGACATGGTGTTTTGCGGCCAGTGCCCCTGTCCGAAGTACAAAAGTCGGCCTCCCATCCCCGCTTGACAAAATCTTTGTGTCAAGCGCTCGTTCAGTTTTCCGCCCCTCGTCAGAAGCCGCCGGCGCGGAGGCGTTCCGCCGCGGTGGCTGGAGGGCGTCACCCGCATCCCGCCGGAGCGGGAGCGGCTGCTGATGGCCTGGCCGCAGTTTCGGGGGCAAGCAGAGAGACTACTCACGTTGCTGGGATCGAGTTTTCTTCGCTTTGTGAGTTTTTCCTTTGCTTTGTTTCGTTCCTGTTGTTTTTGGTTCTTTTCATTTTTGCTTTAGTTTTTTTGGGTTTTCGTTTTTGGGTTCTGTTCATTTCTAGTTGGGCGGGCTGCGCAAGCCCGTACCAAGAGTTGTAGAGTAGAGGTGCGGACCTGTTTTATTCTGGTTCCAAAGTGCTGAAACTTGGGTCGAACAAGCCAAACCCGAGCGGATGGGACCGGCGGGAGGTTTGACTAAAGGCAAATATGAACACCTCCACGATGGGCGTTTTTTTTTTTTTTTTTTTTTTTTTTTTTTTTTTTTTTTTTTTTTTTTTTTTTTTTTTTTTTTTTTTTCCGGTCCTTCTTTAACACGACCGGTTTGCATGCGGTTGATCATGATCAATACATTCAAAACAAAGTCGCCACTGGGGTAGACTTAGGAATATACATTCTATAACTGGGCCTAAGTCTAATCATGGCCACTTGGGGTGGTCATCCAAGTTGTCCTCGCGGTTGAACCGTAAACTGCCTACTTGGATGTTCGGCCAAGTTGACAAGCTGTGCGTGGGTTATATCCCCTGCAACCCAGTAGTGCATGAACTCCGCTACTAAAAGAGAGTTGCACGCGGACCTAGGATACTCATAAGTTGCTAACTTGGCCGAACACCACTCTTTGATCACTACATCAAGTTGTTATTTTGCCATGCCTTGCGTTGTTTTTCGAGGATCATGTCTGCGGTATTGGGACTCCCCCGACAGTCAGAGCAATGCTTCCTTGAGTGACCCCCTCTTCCAGACTGCCGTCCTCTTGAAACGGCCAACAAGCCGTCCACCCCAAGTGGCCATGATTAGACTTAGGCCCAGTTATAGAATGTATATTCTATTGGTTGCTTCCGGTTGAGTCACCTGTAAAATGTAAAATGTATCCACGTGTTTTGGTTGGACGGTTTCTCAGGGCAGCCCCCAGCCACCGCCCACGTGCCCCAGACGCGCCCGACAGGCCGCTTCCGAGACTTGGAGCGCGCCGTTGCGGGCGGCGGCCGCCGAGGCGGGGTCAAAATCGGGACCCCAAAATGGAGTGATTCCCCCTTGGAGGGAAACCGGCTGTTTTTTTTGGGACATGGCGATTTTCGAAAAGGATGGGAAAGGAATCAACTGCTTGTTGAAGGGTACCGGTTCTAAGTTCTGCTGGCTTTGATGGCATGCCAAAGGGACACCAACTCCAGATTTTCACCACCAATTCAGAGATCTGGTGGCTTTGATAAGGGAAAGATCAGCTCCTTAGGAAGCCTTCCATTTACATTTTGTTCAGGCAGTTGTTCGAGTTTTTCGCGGAAGGATTTCTATTTTTGAAGGAGCTGGCCGAGAAGAAGAAAAAGAGCCACCTTGTTTCGGGGGAGTGACACCTTCCTTTGGGTGCGTTTTTTTCGGGGTGGAGTCTTCCACGGTGGCTTTCACAGGGCCGGACACGCCGCCCGACACCGCCAAAACCGCGCGTCGATGTTTTGCCGCGTGGATGGAGTCACGAGGCCGCGGCGCACGGGGGCCCTGTGCTGCTGTTGCCGGCGGAGGTGTGGTGAACGGGGGGTTCTGCGAGGGAGCGCCATTCTGAAAGGGTCCCCACTACCCAATGGGTCCCCAAGAGGAGATTGATCGTTCAGGTATGTCAGGAGGAGGAAGGGTGGCCATGGTTCAAAGCCAATGGTGCCATTTTGGGATAGGTGAACCACCCATTTTGGAACCTATTTGAATGGGGATTGAATCGGACGTTCAATGGGGGTACGATTTGGGTCACGGGGTCGTCTGTGCATTCAATCCTGGTGTCGTCTGTGCATTCAATCCTGGGGTCGTTTGTGCATTCATTGTTTTTTGGGCTCACAGGCATGATAATGGACTCGATGTGTGGTCACATGTGTCGTGATAAGTGTGCATGCTTCTTGGAACGTGTTCTTTGTCGGCGGTTAGCCAGAGGTCCACCCAATGTTCAAATGTCGTTTTGAGGAGAAACAACATGTCCGTGGCTCAAATCAAGCCAATAACTTGCTGCCCTGTGGACCATATCTGAAGGAAATCTTCACACTTGAACATGTGTGTTCTAATGGGATTCGGTGTGGTCAGTCAGTGGTGCCAGATGTCCCCTCCATCGACTTTACAGGTTCCAGAAAGAAATTATTCTGCCTGATGCCTTTAATGTTGACCCAGGGTTAATAAACCGACTGAGATGTGATGGGCGCAGCTCGGCGATAGCTCTGTCCATGGATCCTCCATCATGAAGCGACCTGCCGCCTTCAAGCGGCCATCCGCAGCCGCTGCGACGGTGAAGTCCACGGTGAAGTCCACGGTGAAGTCCAAAGTCCAAAAAAGACATCTACACGGTGAAGTCCACGGTCGCGCACGACGGCGACCCGTGGACGGAAAAGCAGGTGGTCAGCAAGATCTCCGCGTTTGCTTGCACAGAGGAGCAATACGTGCGTGTGTCCACGAGCAAGAGGAAGCGATCTAGTGGGACGATGGACTGGAAGTTTTGGTGTATGACGTGCAGTAAGTGCACGTGGTGCGGCTGGGCATCGTATTTCCCATCTCAGAGATCGCTTTCCATCAGGGCCACGCCCGCATCTTGTCATACAGATTTCAGCAAGAGTTTTGGCAGCACTGGCGTGCATCTTGTTTTTTCCGCAGATGTTGTTTACACTCAGGGGTTCTGACGGTAAGAGTTAAGGCCGGCTTAGATCGAGGTTCGCGCTCAAATCGCTGGCAAACCCAGAACCCTAAAACGTACGGTAACCTAAAACCTAAAGTGATGCAAGCCAAACCCAAGAGCCTAAACCCTAAACCCAAATCCACAACCCTAAAGCCTACAGTAACCTAAAGTGATGCGAGCCAAAACCTAAAAACCAAACCCAAAAGCCTGTAACCTAAAACCTAAAGTGATGCGAGCCAAACCCAAAGCCTAAACCCTAAACCCAAATCCACAACCCTAAAGCCTACAGTAACCTAAAACCTAAAGTGATGCGAGCCAAGCCCAAAAGCCTAAATCCTAAAACCAAACCCAAAAGCCTAAACCCTACAGTAACCTAAAACCTAAAGTGATGCGAGCCAAGCCCAAAAGCCTAAATCCTAAAGCCAAACCCAAAAGCCTAAACCCAAAACCCAAAACCTAGAGTGATGTGAGCCAAACCCAAAAGCCTAAACCTTAAAACCAAACCCAGAACCCTAAAACGTACGGTAACCTAAAACCTAAAGTGATGCAAGCCAAACCCAAGAGCCTAAACCCTAAACCCAAATCCCCCTAAAACCTAAAGTGATGCGAGCCAAGCCAAAAGCCTAAATCCTAAAGCCAAACCCAAAAGCCTAAACCCAAACCCAAAACCTAGAGTGATGTGAGCCAAACCCAAAAGCCTAAACCTTAAACCCAAACCCAGAACCCTAAAACGTACGGTAACCTAAAACCTAAAGTGATGCAAGCCAAACCCAAGAGCCTAAACCCTAAACCCAAATCCACAACCCTAAAGCCTACAGTAACCTAAAACCTAAAGTGATGCGAGCCAAGCCCAAAAGGCTAAATCCTAAAGCCAAACCCAAAAGCCCAAACCCCAAACCCAAAAACTTAAAGTGATGTAAGCCAACCCCAAACCCAAACCCCAACCCCCAAACCCTCTGCTGTGGTGGGCACTTCCGGGATTGAATGCGCGAATGACTCCAAGATTGCGTGCGCAGATGACCCTGCGGGATTGAATGCGCGAATGACTCCAAGATTGAATGCGCGGATGACCCCACCACCACGATTTGGGCTTTGACCCATGGCCAGGTACCCATTTTGCTTCATTTGTGGTTGAATTCTCTCGGTGCTGCCATCGCACCGCCAGGATTGCCTCTCTTTGGGGGTGATGGCAGAGGGCCTCGGTTCGGCGGGAAGCCCAGCGGACGTCAGTCGGCACAAATAGCAAGAATCCACTGGGGTTGTGGGATAGTCTTGAGCAGGAGAATGTAGGGAAGAAGGTGAATATCTTTTCTAGGTCCCCCAGTAGTACCATCTCTCTCACCCTTTTCTGGTTGGGAGATTCGGTTCCCCTACCAAAAAAAGGCGAAACAGACAAAAGTTGCTACCAACTTATTCCAACCTCTCTACTGGAGGACCTAGCTTTTGAAGGGAACACATCCCGGAAAGCTTCGGGCGCCGAAGTGAAGTGGAGGGACGCTTCCTGGTTGGATGTTTCAACGAATGAAGTGGGTTGCCAACCAAAGGAGACCAGTCTGATTTGGAAGATCACCCAACTCTTTGTGTTTCCTTTTTCTCTTTTGTTTTGTTTTGTTTGTTTGTTTGTTTGTTTGTTTGTGGGTGTGTGTGTGTGCGTTGGCGTGATGAAACATATGTGAACATATATGTATGTATACATATATATATATATAATATACATATGCATAATCGGTTGCTTCAGTCTTAGAAGATGTTATCAGCATTCACTATTACCAACAGTAAACACCCCCTTTTGGTTTGCTGTCGCTTTGGGCTGTCCATTATTTGAGATGCCACCATCCTGGATCCCTATCATACTCTACGTGGCTTGGCCTCGCGTATCCAGATCCACTAGTAGTCTCCATGTTCAGGCTGAACGTAACAAGATGAGTGTGAAATCTTCGATATTCATTTTGCGCCTTAAACGCTTCAAGATATATTCTAAAAATAGGTACCCAAAATGGGTGGCCCTGGTAAATGGACACATGGACTAGAATCTGCGGTCCCCTGGTGGTTTAATTTTGACCCATGCCCATATATGAACCCCTGGAACCATAGGTTCTGGGTCAAGGCTCGATTCTGGTTGGACCGGTTTGCCTTCATTCTGGAGCAAACGAGTTCGAGTCCAGGTTCATATTACGAACGGCATACATTCGGAACGCAACATTCAACCAACAGCAGCTGCAGGCAATACCAATCATTGGGCAAGGGCGCGGTTTGGAGCGAGGACGGGGAAGGTTTGTGCATGTGTCTTCAACAAGGGCCGCTTCTAATCTTTGTACCCAGATGGGTGTGATTCTCTTGGGCTACCCTTTGCCGTTCCCTTGATCACCTTGAGCCCCTTCGGGGCGGGGCTGTCGCGCGGCCAAACACGAGAGTGCATGGACCCCGGAATGATTTGGGCGCCAAATCGCCTGGCTCTGTCCCCCAGCTAGGTGTTCTTTCTTACCCTTTTGTGGTTGGGAGGGTTCCCCTACTAAAATAGACTACAGAAATAATTGTTGGTACCCTTATTCTAACCTCTCCACTGGAGGACCTTGCTGTAGTTTTGCATTTCCGGAAAAGAAGCCCAAAGGGTCCCACACCCTGGGGTTTTGAGCCACTTTTTTTTTGTGCATCCCCCGCCTTGTTGGAATGTAGTGGCCCGTTGAAAGCCAAATTCGTTTGAACACCGAGACAATCGCCTTCTTGGGGCGACTCTTGCGGCCAAACATACCATGAATTTGAAAGGGGAGCATTGGAACTTAGAGATGTTTCAGAACTGCTCTTGAGCCGGGTTGGGGATGGCAACCGCACCCTTTCAGAGGCGACAAAAAAGCGACGACTTGCGCTTTAGCTCCGCTCGAGCGGAGCTCCAGGTGCCTGGGCGGGTGCTCAAGTGTCGAGCTCAGGTTCGCGACTTGGAACCGACTTGCTCCGACTCGATGTGGTGGATTGAATCTTGCTGCTGTCTCTGAGTTCGTGAATTCTCAAATCCTAAGGGCTTTGGGGCCAAGGTTTTAACATGCCAACGTGCTTTGGAAGCACTCCTGACCATGCTTAGTAAGTAGGGGTGTTCTAAAATTCAGGGGGTGATTCCTTTGCCAGGAATCCTTGCGATGCTGGTGTAGAATTCTACCAACCCCATTTAAGCCTGACCATGGCACAGATATGCTTGGAAGACCACCATGCATTGTGAATGTTGCATAGTAATCGGGATGGTCCAAGCGGAGATTCCCCTCTTGCGATGGTCATATTCCTATTCCCTCAAACATGGTTGGGTTTTGCTCATGAGGGATTGCCTCCCTCAAAGGATTCCAGCAACCTAGGTTATAGCCCGCGAACAAGTCCCCCTAAGTGGAGCTAACACCTGGGTCTCACCCTTCAAACCTGCGTACCAAATCGCCAATCAGGACTAATCCTGACCCAACACAAACTATGCCCTGATTGATAAATAGCGCGGGTGTCCCGCTTTTAAGAGGGAATCCAGCAGAACTTACTCCTTGCGTATTAATCCAACAGGTTGATGAATCCGGAGTCGACAAAAGTAGGGGCTCAAGCTTTGAAGTTCCCTGACACCGTAGCCCATTGGACATCTCGACTCAAGGCCGAAACACCTTGCGCAATGCGACACGCCAATGCCAGGCGCGATGGGCTTGTTGGAAGAACACACACACACACACACACACACACACACACACACACACACACACACACACACACACACACACACACACACACTCACACACACACACACACACACACACACACACACACACACACACACACACACACACACACACACACACACACACACACACACACACACACACACACACACACACACACACACACACACACACACACACACACACACACACACACACACACACACACACACACACACACACACACACACACACACACACACACACACACACACACACACACACACACACACACACACACACACACACACACACACACACACACACACCACACACACACACACACACACACACAACACACACACACACACACACACACACACACACACACACACACACACACACACACACACACACACACACACACACACACACACACACACACACACACACACAAAAACACAACAAACAACACAACAAAAACACAACAAAAACACAACAAAAACACAACAAAAACACAACAAAAACACAACAAAAACACAACAAACACACAACAAAAACACAACAAAAACACAACAAAAACACAACAAAAACACAACAAAAACACAACAAAAACACAACAAACACACAAACACAAACACAAACACAAACACAAACACAAACACAAACACAAACACAAACACAAACACAAACACAAACACAAACACAAACACAAACACAAACACAAACACAAACACAAACACAAACACAAACACAAACACAAACACCAACACAAACACAAACACAAACACCAACACAAACACAAACACAAACACAAACACAAACACAAACACAAACACAAACACAAACACAAACACAAACACAAACGCAAACTCAAACGCAAACACAAACACAAACACAAACACAAACACAAACACAAACACAAACACAAACACAAACACAAACACAAACACAAACACAAACACAAACACAAACACAAACACAAACACAAACACAAACACAAACACAAACACAAAAACAAACACAAACACAAAAACAAACACAAACACAAACACAAACACAAACACAAACACAAACACAAACACAAACACAAACACAATCACAAACACAAACACAAACACAAACAAAAACACAAACACAAACACAAACACAAACACAAACACAAACACAAACACAAACACAAACACAAACACAAACACAAACACAAACACAAACACAAACACAAACACAAACACAAACCCAAACACAAACACAAACACAAACACAAACACAAACACAAACACAAACACAAACACAAACACAAACACAAACACAAACACAAACACAAACATAAACACAAACACAAACACAAACACAAACACAAACACAAACACAAACACAAACACAAACACAAACACAAACACAAACACAAACACAAACACTAAAACAAACACAAACACAAACACAAACACAAACACAAACACAAACACAAACACAAACACAAACACAAACACAAACACAAACACAAACACAAACACAAACACAAACACAAACACAAACACAAACACAAACACAAACACAAACACAAACACAACCACAAACACAAACACAACCACAAACACAAACACAACCACAACCACAAACACAAACACAAACACAAACACAAACACAAACACAAACACAAACACAAACACAAACACAAACACAAACACAAACACAAACACAAACACAAACACAAACACAAAGACAAAGACAAACACAAACACAAACACAAACACAAACACAAACACAAACACAAACACAAACACAAACACAAACACAAACACAAACACAAACACAAACACAAA